ACGCCCTCGCTCACATCAGCTCTGACCTGACCTTCACCTCGGCCAACTTGAATCCCGATCGGAGCAGCATCGTAGCGATACGCGGGCGTAGCGTGCAGCATGACTTCGTCCTCGAGCGTCATGTCAGGAAGCACTCATCCTCAGGCAGCCTCGAGCAGCGGGCCTTCTGCGTCCGCTCCAATGGCCATGAGCGCGCCCAAGGCTACATCGAGTCATGTCATGTCTGCGCCCGAGCTAGCTGCCCAGGGCTTGCTCTTCCGCAAGCCACGTAATCAGCCATCTGCTCTGCCAAGCGCAGCAGGTGCGCTACCTTACGAAGGCTCAGCTCCGCCTCCTCCACCTGCGCACTCTCAACCTTATCACCAGCCAAGTCAGCATCCCCCCCAGCCCTCTAGAGGATACTCGAACTCTTCTTCTGACTACCAACCTTCATCAAGCAGCCAAAGCCACGGGCGTGGAAGCGGAAGCGGTGCAGGAAGCTCGTATCCAGAAGACAGCCCTTCGAATCGCAACATGTTTTCAGAACCCTCTTCGTGGCACCAACATGGGTCTCCCTCGGGGCCCTCTCCCATTCGCAGCAGCGCTCCGATGAACCCTTTCGCGATGCCTCCTCCAGCTCAGCAAGAGCACAGCGTCTCTGGTGGGTGGAATCAGTATGGTCGTGGTGGAGGCTCGTCGAACTCGACTGCGGGGTGGCCAGCTGGAGGCTCCGATGGTCCTGCAGCTGACACTCCCGACAATGCAAGAGACCCGCGACATTTTCCCGTCGTCCAAAATTCTCGACGTAATGTCCACGGAGAGCCCTTTCCAATGCGACCGCCGGACGGCAGGCCAAGCGACCGGAATGGCTGGCCCAATGCAAGAGATCGGGAGAGGGAACGTTCACCCGGTTGGAATCGCAGCGACGGCAGACCTTGGGAGCGCGAGCGCGAGGCGTCACGCGATTGGGATCGAAGCAGGAAGCATCGAGGCAACGGCTTCTCGTTCGGGCATCATGGCGGCGACGACGAAAGCCA